CACCAACGACCCAACCAACCCAACCAACGCAACCCCAACCATCCCAACCCAACCAGACAGCGACACAACGCAACAACCAACCACCAACTAACCAACTAACATCAACATCACATTGACAACCACCCAACGGGACCCAACAAAAAATAAAAGGCAGAATAATAAAAAAAGAAAAAAACAGAAAAACAAGATATACACAAAAAAAGCAGAAGAAAGAAAAAAAATGCAAAAGAAAAACAGCACACCAACACAAAACAGAAAGAAAAAAACAAAAACAAAAACAAGAGAAAGAAAGGAAGAAAAAAAACACCAGAACAACGGCATCGACAGCGAAGAATAAAATTAAAAACAAATTGGCCATCCGCAACCACAACCGACCAGCCCAACAGCTAGCAACAAAAAACACTCCAACGACATTCAAAAAGACATCCGCCCAACACCCAGCCAACCAAACCAACCAGCCCAACAGCCAACAATAGCTAACAACACCCAACATCACAACGACAACAACCCAGCAACCAGCCAGCAACAACAACCAACAACAACAATAGCGGACGCACAACGACCAATCGCCGACGAACCGACACTCCAAGCTGCCAAAAACGGATCTCTCTTCCGAAAACGTGGGGACCAAGGCCTGGGCAAGCCCAAAAGGCGTGTTGCACAGTGCGTTGTGAGGCCCAAAAGGCGTGTTGCACAGTGCGTTGTTACGCCCAAAAGGGCTGTTGCAATCTCTTGTTCTGAACAAAGGATAATGTTGCAAATCCGTCTTATGCCTCCCCGGTTCGGCCCCATGGAAGACCACTCAAAGCCTGAACAGAGATTCCCGCAAACTACTACTACTACAATTACAACTACAACTACAACTACAACTACTACTACGAGTACTACTACTACTACTACTACAACTACTACTACTACTACTACTACTACTACTACTACTACGACTACGACTACGACTACGACTACGACTGCGACTACTACTACTACCACTACTACTACTACTACTACTACTACTACTACTACGACTACTACGACTACTACTACTACTACTACTACTACTACTGCTACTACGCTTACTACTACTTCTACTACTACTAATAATAATAATAATATTATTATGAACAACAATAGTACTACTACGACTACTACTACGACGACGATCACTACTACTACGGCTACACTGCTACTACAACTACTGCTACTACTACTGCTACTACTACTGCCGCTACTACTACTACTACTACTACTACTACTACTGCTGCTGCTACTACTACTACTATTATTACTACATACCATTGCGACTACTACTACTACTACCTTTTTTTTTTTTTTCTTACTACTGCTAACAATACGTCTTCTAATACTACTGCTACTACTGCTACCACTACTACTACTACTACTACTACTACTACTAACTACTACTACTAACACACCACTACTACCACTATCGCGACGACTACCACCACTACTACTACGACTGACTACTACTACTACTAACTACTACTACTACTACTAAAACTACTACGACACTACTACTACTACTGCGACTACTACTACTTCTACACTACTACTACTACCTACTACTACTACTACTTCTACGACGACTACTTCTACTACTACTACTACTACGGAACTACTAGTACTACTACTACTACGACTACTAACAACTACTACTACTAACTACACCTACACTACTACTGCTACCACCACTACTAGCGACTACTACTACTACTACTACTACTACTACTACTACTACTAACTAACTAACTACCACTACTACGAGTACGACTAGTACGACTACGAACTACGACTACTACTACTACTAACGACTTACTACTATTACTACATACTACTACACTACTGCTGCTGCTACTACACTACTACTACGACTACTACTACTACTACTAACTATACGACTACTCCTACTCCTACTCCTACTCCTACTCCTACTCCTACTCCTACTACTACTACTACTACTACTACTACTACCACTACTACTACTACTACTACTACTACTACTACTACTACTACTACTACTACTACTACTACTACTTCTTCTACTTCTACTACTACTACTACTACTACTACTACTACTACTACTACTACTACTACTACTACTACTACTACTACTACTACTACTACTACTACTACTACTACTACTACTACTACTACTACTACTACTACTGCTACTACTAGTAATAATACTACCAGACGAGCTTGGTTTTCCTTGCGCGGCCACCCCGCAGAAGCAGACAGCAGAAGAGCCAAACTCATCGTTACAGTAGGCGCCCGACCACGAGAAACCTTCCACAAGAAACCCAGCCCTGAAACCCCAGGACGTCCATGGATTTTTGGTAAGGGAACGTCGCGCTCCCCATAACAAAGCCATCGAAACCCAAGAAACCCAGGGCACCCTGGAGGCAAGGAGGGTGTTTCTTGGCATGGGCCTCCACTGTAACACGCCCCCGCCGGCGAAGCAGTTTCAGCTGTTGAGCGCGCCCAGGATGGCGTCAACGCAGACCAGGGCTGCTCGGTGAACGCCCAGGACCGTTCAGCAAACGGCAGTTAGACGGGCGTCTGTGAGGAAGGGCGGTCCTTCGGCCCAGACCGCCAAGCGCGATCAACATCGCGCCCCGTGTGAATCACCTGGGCTCTGGACGACGATGCGTTCGAGCCCGCCCTACCCCGAGACGTTGCGGCGGGGGGGGCGCTCTCCTGAGGCCCGCCTTTGGGGCCCGGGAGCGTCTGGCGCACGTCGTGCGCTGGCGCAAGACATGGAACATGGTCTGGAGGAGCCACGGGTATTTGGGCCCGGGGCTTCCCCCAGGCAGCGCCAAGGGGCGCCCTCACCGTGGGGGCAGCCATCTCTTCCCAAAGACGGCCAACAACCTGCAACACCTCGACCCTCGATCCTCGACCCCTACAAAGGATCGAGAATCACTTTTAGGGGTCGAGAATCAGGGATCCTCGATGTCCACAAAGGAAAGGGTGGCCCCCCTTGGCACCCCGCAGCCCAGACATCGGACGCTCGGAGTTGTTTTCCACACGCAGCCCCCAGGAAGGTTCCGCCGTCCTCCCCGGGACCACTGTTATCGCCCGGGAGCCTGCCCCTCCTCCCTCCTCCAGGAGGGAGGAGGAGGAGGAGTAGGAGGAGGAGGAGGAGGAGGAGCAGTAAGCCGAGGAGGGGGGGGGGGACGAGGAGGGGAAAGGGAGGAGGAGAAGGAGGAGGCCCGAGAGGAGGAGGAGGCTGAGGAGGAGGAGGAGGAGGAGGAGGAGGAAAAGGAGGGGGCCCGACAACGGGCCCCAATGGCCCAAACAAAGAAGAAAACGCCAAGATTAAACAATCATGGCGTCGGAGAGCTGGGAGTCTAAACAACCGATCCCTGTCCCCGCTGGGCCCCCCTGGCCGATGTGCGCCCCCCTCTTCGATGGGGATCTGGGCTGTTCCCCTTCGGGTTTCGAGGGGCCTCTTCCCAAATAGGGTGGTGGGATGGTGGGGCTCAGATACCAAATGGGTTGGTGGGACCGCCACGCCGTCCATAACAAAACCATCGAAGCCCAAGAGTCCCGAACGTTTTCTCGTTCGGCGTTTCGGCATTGGGCGCAAGGGACGGGGGGGGTTTGGCTCAAGACCTCTGCTTAGGGCGACTGTTTGCAACAGTGCGTCCGATGCGGGAGACTCCCCCTGCCTGGAACAGGCGCCCCAAACAGCCAAGATCTACTCCAGGGCGGGGGGGTGCGAGGGCCCGCGCCGATCGGCAAAACCATGAATAAACCAACTATCACCAGGGCACTCTGGAGGCCAGCAGGGTGTTTCCTGGGATGGGTTTCCGCTGCAGGTCCCCCCCCCACGGGCGCGAAGAGGCTCCCGGAGGCCAACACTTGCCCAACCTGTTGCATCGTGACTTTCTCGGTCGCAAGGCGGCCTGGGCCCAAAGGAGGGAGAGGACGGGGAGGAGAGGAAGGCTCCGCCGAGCCCACTCGCGTCCCAGGGGAGGGAGAGGGCGGGAGGAGGGAGCGGGCGGTCACCCCCGACGGAGCGAAGCGAAAACATCGCGCTTCCCGCGCCGGGGCCAGGGCCGCTGGGGCGATCCTGCATCCCCGGGGCAGAGCGAGGTCGCGGAGGTCCCCTCCTTCTCCTCCTCCTCCTCCTCCTCCTCCTCCTCCTCTTCCCCCTCCTCCTCCTCCTTCTCCTCCTCCTCTTCCTCCTCCTCCTCCTCCTCCTCTTCCCCCTCCTCCTCTTCCCCCTATCCTCCTTCCCCTTCTCCTCCATGCCTCCCCCTCCCCTCCCCCTCCCCCCCCTCCCCCCTCCCCCCTCCTCCTCCTCCTCCTCCTCTCCCCTCCTCCTCTCCCCTCCTCTCCTCCCTCCTCTCCTCCTCCTCCTCCTCCTCCTCCTCCTCCTCCTCCTCCTCCTCCTCCCTCCTCCTCCTCCTCCTCCTCCTCCTCCTCCTCCTCCTCCTCCTCCCTCCAAAAGGGGCGCGGTGCTCGAAGGCCAGGTGGTCTCGGATTGGGCAGGCTGCCACCACTTCCCAGCTCTCGTGACGGGCCGATGTTTCCAACCACCGCTACCACAGATAGGAGAGGGAGAAGAGAAAGAGGGGGAGGAGGAGGATGAGGTGGAGGAGGAGGAGGAGGAGGAGGAGGTGTAGGAGGAGGAGGACAAAGGGGAGGAAGAGGAGGAGGAGGCCCTCCCATTCCTCCCTTCTCCCCCGTCCTGCCTAAGGTAGTGGTGGTAAGTTAGCCCATCATCTCGGTGCGATCGAAATGGGTACGTTAGCTTCGTGCGGCGTCGGCACGCGCCAAAGATTTTTGAGACCGCGTCGCTCGTTCAATCTTGAATCGATCGCGGCCCCGATCGATTAAGGCTGAATTCCGTCGGGTCGAGTGGCGTCTCCGTGTCACTGGGTGCCTCCGCGTCGCAGAATGCAGCCTTGAACGCCTTCGCCAGTGTCGCCGGCACGCCAACGCCTCATGAACCTGCCGTACGATGAGATGGGCACGAAGAAAGGCAACAACTCCTGCTCAGTTGAACCGGGCTCGCCGACATTCTCGACGCGGACGTCGTTCGACTGATACAGAAAGTCGCCTGCCCCACAGCGGCCGCTACCGATTTTGGACGACGTTGTTGGGCATCGTACCCCTTGCTTCCGTCAACGTTTCGAGCGCCCAAACTAGACGCCCCGTAGATGGGGTCCGAGTAGATGGGGTCGAAGCATCGCGCCGCATCGTCAATGCATCGCCGATCCATCAGCGATGCATCGGCGATGCAGTGGTGACGCAGCCACATCGTCGATGCATCGGCGATGCGACGCGATCCTCCGACCCCGTATATCGGGAGCGGCCAAGAGGCGGGCCGTCCAAGAGGGGGGGGTGCAAATCATGGCCCGAGGCATGTGCGCGGCCCAGCGTTGGGCCAGGGAACGAGCTGGAATAAGAAGAAGAAGCGCCATGAAAGCTGGGGCGTTATCATGGCCCACGCCATGGTACCCCCCCTGGTCATCACCCCCCCCCCTTGGCCGCCCCCCCGAATATACTCGGGCCCCATCTGGAAGGCCTAGACAGGCCCTCGCCCTCGGGAGCGACGCGTGCCCGGCCGGCCCGCGCGCGCCGTCACCCGTACAACACGTCGACCCAATCGCCGCCAGAGGATCGGCTGCACGCAGGGAGGGACCCGGCCCTGGGCTCTTACGTCGACCATGTACGCCCACAGGCAAATTTTGGACGACAAAAAATTCACAATACCCAAAACATAGTCAAACTAAAATCCAAGGAACGAAACAAATGATCAGACACCAAAACAAAAGCGTCCATATGGACTCTTGTGATGATTACGTTCGAATGTTCCTCCTGTGGAGGGACACAGGCCCGACGGGACCCCAGGCGAGAGTGGCCTCTTGGTGCGCGGCCCGAGCGGGGCGCGGGGGGGGGGAGGAACCCGGGGCGCGCTGGCCGCTGCCGTCGCACCGCGCTCGGCGGTGGGAGGGGGCCCCGGTGGGCCCGCGCCGAAGGCCACTCGGGCCTTCGGGTCATAGCTCGGGTCTCTGGCGTCCGATCGGGACGACCTAGGGAGGAGGAGGAGGAGGAGGAGGAGGAGGAGGGAGGAGGAGGAGGGACGCCCCGGGAATCTCTCGGCGAGGCGCAGCTGCGGATAAGCATCCCGAGGCTGGACAGCCCGCGAGGACCGACGACGCACCAGTGGCCACTCTGGCGAAGGGCCGCTTCTCCGATGCAGTCAGGCAGCCTCCTCACCACCAGGGGAGGAGGATGGGGAGGAGGAGGATGGGGAGGAGGAGGATGAAGAGGTGGGAGGAGGGACGAGGGGACAGGAGGATGAGGGACGCGGGGAATGAGGGGAAAGGAGAAGGAGGGATGGATGATGAGCGATCCCCCCGACACGACATCCCTAGGAGAAGGGAGAACGATGAGGTGGAGGAGAAGGAGTGGAAAGTAGAAGGGGGGGCGAGGAGGGGGAGGAGGAGGAGGAGGAGGAGGAGGAGGAGGAGGAGGAGGAGGGGAGGAGGAGGAGGAGGAGGAGGAAGGAAGGAGAAGAGGAAGAGAGGAGGCACAGCATTCGAATGAGTCCCCTGTCAAGAAGCGGACGGGGAGGAGAAGGAGGAGGCGGAAGTGAGACAGAAAGGGAGATGCAACGGAGGAACAGGGAGGACGTCGTCGGAGTCGGCGTCGGCGTCGTCGCGGGCGCGGGCGCTAGCGAGAATGGCAGAGGGAACGATCCCCAGACGACCCCCCGTCTCGCCATCGCTCGGACGTCCATTCCCAGTGCATCAGTCGGTCTCGGGCGTGATTTTTCGTCGCAGGAGGACCCCACATGCTCATCGAGGGTCCCTGCCGAGAAAAAGATGCACACGTCCGAGCGATGCCGGGCTGCGACTGCAACTGAGCGTCGATAAAAAAACAGGTATTGCACGAGATGGCACAACGACCTTACGCGGCGGATCACGCGGGCCGCTAGCGCGGCACGCTACACTGGGGACGAGGGAGCTTACTCGCGACCTTACGCTTAGGTCGGGCCTGTCCCCCTACAGGCCGATGTTCGAGGAAATATTAAAAACAATTAAACAGATATGTAGCGATGCCAAAAAAATATAGAAAAACAGTCCGCAGGCTATGTGTTGACTATCGTTTGATGTTCCTCCTGTGGAGGGGCAAGCCCGACTTAAGCTCACCCGGGCGGCTCACGCGTCAACGTCGGCGAAGACGTCCCCGTTTTTTTTACGCGGCCCACCTCAGCCAGGCGCGTGCCAGCACTCGCAAGGCAACTGCTTGAAACTGGGCTGGATCCGCCGTGGGGGGATTCACGATCCACCACGTCGGGGCCAAACTCCGCCTTTGCTCCCAGCGCTTGCGAGCAGGCATTTTTGCGAGCAGTGGCACGCGCTCGGCGATACCCGGAGGCCCCTGCGCGCGATCCGTGGACTCGGCGCGGTCGCCAACTCCATGGATCGGGAGAGGTGCCCTCCCCCAAAATGCGGCCTGTGCCGCCTCGCTCGGCGGCGGAAGTCCGCGATGTCCCATGGAAACGGGGCCCGCCGCTAATGCACGCCCCCTCGATCCATGTCTGCGATCGCCGGATACGCGCGACCTTCCGCGGGCAGCTCACGCGTCGATGTCGGCGAAGACGACCCCGTTTTTTTCACGCGGCCCACCTCAGACAGGCGCGTTCCAGCACTCGCAAGGTAACCACTCGAAAATGGGCTGGGTCCGCCGTGGGGGGATCTGCGATCCATCACGTTGGGGCTAAACTCTGCTTTTGCTTCGAGCGTTTGCGAGTAGTCATTTTGCGAGCAGTGGAACGCGCTCGGTGATACAAACCTCCCTTTAATAAACCTCCCATTAGTCAAAAAACGGCCTGGGACCGAAACCGACGGACCTGGAGCCGCGACGCCCTCTCGCGAACAGAAAGCGGCCACTTCCTTCATCGACGTGTCATGGTAGGAGGTCTGTCCGCCCCCGATACTTGAGCAGGGACCGACCGTCCCGCCATTCATACAGTCATACCACGAAATGTTCTTAGAACCCACAAATGTTCGAAGAACAACAACACAATGTTCTTAGAACGTCGACCCGATGTGTTAAAAAAGAGCAGTCCCAGCCAGAAATGTTCTAAGAACACTTCGTGGAAACAATAAAAGGTTTTTAGAACATTGTTTGGTGGGGCTATAGGCGAGCCAGGACGCTTCGCCACTGTTTGAGATACATGGAGGCCCCTGCGCGCTGCCGGGGCGGCCAACACCGCGTCCACCACGCGCTGCGCGCTCCGGGCCTCCCGCGCCGAGACGGTGCCCGCCGGCGCGCTGGCCGCCGCGCCCGCAGGCGGCGGCCCTCCGCGCCGCGCCGCGGCGACCTCTGGCGAGCGGCTCGTCGTCGTCTGCCCCCCACGGCATGCCTCCTCCTCGACCTCCGCCTCCTCCTCTTCCACCTCCTCGTCCTCCTCCTCCTCCCTCATCCTCCCTCCTCCTCTTCCTCCTCATTCTCGCCCTCCTCCTCCTCCTCGTCCTCGTCCTCCTCCTCCTCCTCCTCCTCCTCCTCTTCCTCCTCATTTTCCTCCTCCTCCTTCTCCTCCTCCTCCTCCTCCTCCTCCTCCTCCTCCTCCTCCTCCTGCTGATCCTCCTCCTCCCCCGTCGTCGTGGGTCGTCGTCGTCGTCGTCGTCGTCGGCGGCGTCGTTTGCGTCGGAGTCGTGGTCGTGGTCGTCGTCGGCGTCGTCGGCGTCGGCGTCGGCGTCGGCGTCGGGGTCGGCGTCGGCGTTGGCGTCGGCGTCGTCGTCGTCGTCGGCGTCGGCGTCGGCGTGAGCGTCGGCGTCGTGGTCGTCGTCGTCGTCGGCGTCGTCGTCGGCGTCGTCGTCGGCGTCGTCGTCGTCGTCATAGTCGCCGCCCTCGTGGATGTCATGCTGTATGGACTGTGCGCTACCTGGTTCTCCCGGGCGCGGCGGCAGCCTCCCTTTCCCGGGCCCTCCCCGCGACGGCCCCGAGGTGGTGCCCCCGAGGTGGCCCCAAGGTGGCCTCCACGAGGGCCCAATGACGCCCCAAGAGGCACCCGTTCGACGGCCCACCGGTGGAGCCCCCGCGGACGTGCGGGAGACCTCTGGCGGGGCGGCGGCCTTCCCTCGCCCCTCCTCCTCCTCTCGCAGTCGTAGTCGCATTCGCGATGATAGTCGCAGTAGCAACGGCAGTCGCAGTCACAGCCTCAGCCTGCCTCAGCCTCAGCCTCAGCCTGCTTCAGCCTCAGCCTCAGTCTGCCTTCAGCCTCGGCCTCAGCCTCAGGCTGCCTCAGCCTCAGCCTGCATCAGCCTCAGCCTCAGCCCCAGCCTGCCTCAGCATCAGCCTGCCTCAGCCTCAGCCTCAGCCTGCCTCAGCCTCAGCCGCAGCCTGCTTCAGCCTCAGCCTCAGTCTGCCTTCAGCCTCGGCCTCAGCCTCAGCCTGCCTCACCCTCAGCCTGCCTCAGCCTCAGCATCAGCATGCCTCAGCATTCAAAATGTGGCCCGGGAATGAGGTTCTGGGAACTCGAAGAACACGAAGTGGCCTACAGTTGGCTCCGGGCATTCAAAATGTGGCCCGGGAATGAGGTTCTGGGAACTCGAAGACCACGAAGAGGCCTACAGTTGGCTCCGGGCATTCAAAATGTGGCCCGGGAATGGAGTTCTGGGAACTCGAAGACCACGAAAAGGCCTACAGTTGGCTCTGGGCATTCAAAATGTGGCCCGGGAATGGAGTTCTGGGATCTCGAAGACCACGAAGAGGCCTACAGTTGGCTCCGGGCATTCAGAATGTGGCCCGGGAGTGGAGTTCTGGGACCTCGAAGACCACGAAGTGTGGAACTGTTTGCTTAAAACGACTTCCGCGGATTCTCCCCGGCACCCGTCCGGCATCTGCCCAGACCCCCTGGGGCGTCATGATGCTTTCTTTTGAGCCTACTAGAAGCCTATCAGTCTTCGCTGTTAGGTAAAAACACGGCGTCGAGGTACCCATCGTGCGGAAGAAGCGGGTGGAAGCACGAAGTAGGAAGGCGTTGAAAGTAGCTTTGGTTCCCGCCCGCCCCTCACAGATGAAGGACAAGGGACAAACGCTTGTTTGATTGATTGAAGTAGGAAGGCGCTTCAAGTAGATTGGGATATGCGAACCCCAATAATACCTGAATCAACAAAAAACTACTTTCAACGACCGATGGGTACCAGGGGACGAGAGTGACATCATGACGCGACTGGCTCAGGGTACGTTCCCGAACATCTGGACTACCTAGCGGCCCGAGTCCCGGGATTGCGCACCAAGGAAAGGGAACCATGGACATTGTGAAACGCACTGTATCATTATGATGGCATGTTGATATTATGCTTCCTCGTCTCCTCCCCGCTCCCTTCTGATCCATCTTCACCTTTCCCTCTGCGTGAAAGGAACATGTCCGCCCATCTCCTTCTCTCCCTCCTTCTCCCTGCGATCCATCACCGCTCCGAGCATGATATGAGCCGAAGCGCAACGATCAGAGGGGCCGTTCGTGGTCCATCGAGACGGTCCGAAGATGCCAGCCAACAGCCCAACACGATCATTCGGAACGCTTCAAAGATTCCAACGACTTCAGAAGGCCACCGATGGGCCCGCTCTGAGATCTCCACGATGCTGCCGGAATTTCGAACACAGGGATGAACCCATCCATAATTCGGATTCATCGTCATGCCACGCAGGAAATGCCTCGAGTTGCATCTAGTAACTCCTGGACGCCCTTCGAGACTCCCTAGACGGGGGCATGACGCTCCAAATGGCTTTCCATACAGAAGTCCCCCAAGCGGCAAAAGACTCCCCAAAGGCAGACCTTAGATGGCCCAAGAGCTCCCTGAGACCAATCCGAGACCGTGCGAGACCAGCCCAAGACGGCCCCAAGACTCCCCCAGAGGGCGCCTCCAGGCACCGCAGACCGGCTCCAAGAGCCCCATCACACAACCGCAAGCTCAACAACTACCCCAAGACCCATCAGCGGCCCAGATGTCCCACCTGGGGCCCAACAGAGCTTGCAAAGGCTGCCAGAACGCCACCGAGAGACTCCGAAGAGCGCTAACGGTGTTGCAATGCCAACATTGCCGCAACGCTTCCGCAAGGGCGGTGGCGGAAGTATGCGGCAGCCCGAATTGAACTGCCTAGGCCTAGGCTACTAATTTACCTGGGGTGAAAATCGAATGGGGGCGAATGGGAGCACCTCTCGACTCGAGAGGGAGGGCCCTGATAGTTGCAAGCTGTAGCCAGAGCTACAATATCGAACCGCCCCCCTGGGCTCGAAAGGGTAACTCGGATGTTTCGAGCTCTCACTGGGATTCTCGAGTCCGCCAATGACCAGCCCGTCAACAAACTCTCGCCGTCCGTAGTCCGCGTTGTCCACCAGCAGCTGGCCGGTGGGGCCCTCCAAGCTTGTGAAGTCGAAGAGCCGCAACGAGCCCTGAAGAGGCGGCAGGAAGTCGAGGTGGGAGTGCCGGAGGCGGGGGTCCAATGGCCTGGGGGAGACGGCGGGCTCAGGGAGGAAGGAGAGGTGGGGGGAATGTCGGCTGCTGGCGATATGTGACGCCCCGCCCTTTTGGACGCCCGAAATGGGTACGGAAAAAATGGGTACAATGCCCAGCAACAAATCTTGTCCCAAACCCACAGCGGCCGCTGGTGGGCGGGCGGCCTTCTGTCCCCAACGGACACAGCCGCGGCGGCGCGGACAGCGAGTCCTCTTCAACAAGAACAGGACCTGCTGCTGGGCATTGTACCCATGCCTTCCGTACCAATTCCGCTCGCGCAGGTCTTTGACGCCCCCCCCTGGACCTCGCTCCCGTCGACGCGCAGCTCGTAGAGGTCCCTCCTGGCGCACTCGCGCGTCTTGACGGACAGCTGGAAGCAGACGGGGGCCGGAGCGCCCTGGGGCACCACCTCCAGGAGGCCGTCGACGGACTCCTCCGCTCGGGCGCCGGCGGAGCCGTCCGGATACTGCACGTTGGCCCGGACGCGGCCGACGCAGCCGTGGCCCAGAAGCTCGTGGAGCGCGAAGAGGAAGTGGGTGCCCACCTCGTGGCTCACTGGGCACTGCAAGCCGGCACGGGGGGGGCCACGCAGGGGCACAGGGCAGCGAGCCATGCCCGTGCGCCCCGGATCGGAGTGCCCGCCACCACTCTCGGCACTGCAGACGAGCACGGGGGGCCACGGAAGGGTATAGGGGGTTTCCGTTCGCCGAACTCTTCCCCTGGGGACCCCCACGAACCGTGCCCTTGCAACGTCGCCAAACACCAGCTCCTCGACGTAGAGGAGAACGCCCTGCCCTCGAGATACGAGACCCGCCCCCGTGGTCGGGTGCTGACGGAGGTGCCCTCTGGTCCACAGCGGCCCTAGCCTCAGGGCAATGCTGCAGCCGCGCGCCCTTTTCTCTGCGTCTCGACCCAAGCCTTTCTGAGGGCCGACGCGGCCTCCATGGCCACCCCCCGGCCCAGGGGGCACCTCGTGCCAAGGCCACTCACGTCAACGCCTCGTGCCAGGGGGGCCAGCGGCCGCAGCAGCTGGAACCGGAGGCCCGCTCGCGCCGCACCGCCGATGCAGCGGTGGTGCAGCGAGGTGGAGACACTCGGACTCCGGATCGCGCCGTGTGGCCGCTGCGACGGCGGTGCGGCGCGACCCTGTGGCCCCATCGAGTCGGGCCCAAAACGGGCGGCCAACCATGCCCACCCATTCCACCAAGGTGCTGTCAGGCCATAAGAGTAAGTCAGGCATGTCCTCCTGCAGCCGGGTTTTGGAAGAGAAGTCGCAACAAACAATCGAACCATGGTCAGGAATAGCCGACCCAAACTAACAATGGTACCCTGACTACTTTCATTACTCTGGAATGCTCCTTCTGTGGAGGGGGCATGCCCGACTTAATCATAATCAGCTCCTGCCTGCGGCGGCCGCTCGGGACGATTCGGGTGGATCCCGAACGCTCCTGCCGAGGTGCAGCCCGCCGGAAAGTAAATCTCGAGGCGAGAAAACCTCCGAGAACCAACCAAAACCCCAGAGCAGTCAGACAGCCTCCTGAGCCCAGGAGCACGCAGCACGAGGAGAGTGCGGCGGAAGAAAACGAGGAGGATGAGGAGGAGGAGGAGGAGGATTAGGAGGAGGAAGAGAAACCCTCTTGCTCCATCTCTTGTTGTGGACGGATGGGGCCCTCTCTCCCTCCCTCTCCTCGGAGACGAAGGCGTGGCCCGCTCACACGGCCTCCGCGACCACAGCGGCGCGCGCTCGGCGCGGTGTGGGCGCGGTGCGGACGCAAAGTGATCTCGCCGTGTGTGTCGCTGCGGCAGCAGGGGACGGATAAGAACAATCGAGATGATGAGTAGGAGAAAGAGGAGCAGGAGGAGGAGGAGAAGGAGGAGGAGGAGGAGCAGGAGGAGGGAGTTTCCTCATCCTGCGATGTGGCCCTAGGGAGCCATCGAGCGGAAAGCGGCGCCCGGCGCAGGCCTATACAGACGTAGACACTGGTGTTTTTGAGCGTTTTACGGGAAATCGGCCAGCCCCCGATTATCGCCGCGCCCTCGCCGCGACTGGCCCTTCAAGAGCCGCCTACGCTTGTGCATCGCCGTCTCGCAAACCTTCCACCCAGGGCGATGTTCGGCGGGGCAAGGGCTCCCGAGACCAGCAGGCTTGCTGGTCGCGTACACGGAACACCTCTCACAAAACACAAAACCCTCGCCGGCGGGAGCTCCAGGCTCGGCAGAGAGCTCACGCCGTTCGACGCCGTGGGAATCCAGATGGGCCTCCGCGCGGGCAAAAAGCGAGAGGCCGATCCTCGGCCCCTCGGTATTCCGCACGGTCGATGCCGGCCTCGCACGTGGCTTCGCAGCGCAGGCAGCGGACGCACTGCCAGCGACTCCTGCCGACCACGAATTCGTGGGCGACGGGCGATCACGGCGGCTGCCATGCGAGGAGGCGGGCGGCCTGCGCAGGTCGGCCGATTCTTCCTGCGGGGTGGGGCCCGTGCACAATACGCGGGCGACGCCTCGGAGGAATTGCTTCATCCTCGCGAGCCGGTCCTCGAGGTCGGCGACGAGGGAGGTGGAGGTGCCGTGCAGGGGTGCTCCTAACTTCGCGGCCTTATAGGACTGGTCGACGAGCCATGCAGCCCACTCCGCTTCGGTGGCGGGCTGGTCGACGACGTGCACGTGCCATCTGTGTGTTTGACCAGGTTGTTTGACCAAGCCTGAAAGCAAGCCGGGTCCTGCCGAGGGAGGACCCGCCAAAAGCCCGCGAACGGAGCCGTGGCCTTGCTCGTTTGGCCGTCCCACTCCTGGCCGACCCCAGCACCGAATAACAATCAACAGTGTGCGCGCACGTGCCGTCCGAACCTCGCCGGCGCCCGTGAACAAAAGCATTTGTTTTCGGCGCGCACGACGGACTGTGGCATCCTAGCCGGGGTCGAGCCGATGATCATGCGTAAAGCGTAGGACGCTCTGTACAGCATGACACTGGAGGACGCCCCAACCCGCCCGCACGAGGGAGGTAAGAGGAGAGGTGGAGCAAGACCCATCCCCCGCTACCTTCTCGCCTGGCAGGTCAAATCTTTGACTGGCACCTCGCGCTCTCCGATGAAAACGCGCATGTCTCCACGAGGCGGCTCTGGCAGCCGCGGGAAAGGCGAAGGCAAGCGCAGGTCCGGCAACAACGTGTCGCCGAGCGATCGGCCAGCCGCAAGACTGCCAGGCCAGCCAGTCTCCGCCGCCCGGCCCGCCGCGAAGCAGCAGCCGACGCGATGGGCGACGGTGTCTGGCACCCCGCAGGTCGCGCACATGCCGCCCGCAAGGTAGCCAAGGTCGCGAGCCCTCTCGCCCGTCAGGTACGTGCCGCCCAACAACGAGACGAACACGTGGCGCTCCAGGGCGCGGCAGCAGCTCTCCTTGAGAGCCGCCTGGGCGCCCCCCCCCACCAGATGGCATCGAAGTCCGCGCCGAGGCTGGAACGACGCCTGATGACCTCGTCGGCCCGTAGCTCGATCGGAGCCAGCGCGTCGCGCTTGAAAATGCGGGCCGGCTGCCTGGGCGAGGTCTCCAGCACGCTGATCACCCCCGCGCTGGGAGAGCTGAGCGAACTTGCTGAAACAGACAGACGCCCTGCCCAACAGAGACTGCGGAACATGGCCCCCGCCGGGCCTGCCTCGCCGCGCTTCCTATCGAGGCTTGCTGCCGCCGCCTCGTGCGCCCCACGAAGTTCGGGGAGGCTGGGGACGCGCCCGTTGCGTTGGCGCACGTCCGAGGCTCGCCACCATTCCTCGGCGCAAGTACCTCCCGACGGTGAGCACCGTCGCGCGCCCCAGGGGCGACCAGCCTGGCAGTGCTGCCTCCAGGATGTCTGAGGCAATGAAGGGAAGGCCAGCCAGCGCCTTCGCCCTCGCCCTCAGGTCCCCAAGCTCCTGCGGCGAGAAGCCCGAGATCTCGCACCCCCAGACGGCAGCAGGCACGATGGCGGAGTGACATGTGCGCTTGCAGCCCGCCACCTGCTTGATGGCCCGCAGGGCCCTGCGCAAACGGCGCCTGCCGGCCTCGATCCGCCGTTGCCGAACGGGCCCAACGCGATGGGCAACGCTTGGTCTGTCGAGCGGCCCGCGCCGCCGCCTCCCAGCACAGACGTTCACGCCGAGGTGCCGCTCCGAGGCGTTGACGGCGCCGCGCAGTCTGCGCCGCGCGCCTGGCCTGGCGGCCTCAGGCGACCCAAGGCTCCAGGGCGCAAGCTGAGCGGCCGAGGTGACCTCGTCCGAGCTGCCCAGGAGCGTGCCCTTGGGCGCCGCCAGCGTCATATCCAGGTCGCCCTCCAGCACCGCCTGGAGATCGCGGGCCCCGTCCACCGAGGTGGCGACGACCTCCTGGATCGAGTCCCCGACGACCTCCTGGCTGATGTCGTCGACGTGCACCGCCTGGAGGAAGAGGAGGAGGAGGAGGAGGAGGAGGAGGAGGAGGAGGAGGAGGAGGAGGAGGAGGAGGAGGAGGAGGAGGAGGGCTGAGGGCTGAAAGTGAGTCAGCGCCTGCGCACAGACACTGCTCTACTTTCGCATCAGGCGAAGAACGCGGTTCAGGGTACGGGAGCTGCCCCTTGACGCACTTGGGCCTGCCCAAAAGCCGCAGCCGTGAGTGGACACAAAGCCCGACCGGATTTACATGGCACACGCCAACACCTCTCACGGAAAACGCAAATCCCTGGGGGCCCGACCACATGGGAATGGCCACCCAGGCGCCTGGCTGACGCCGCCGCCAGCAGGGCAAGGCTGAGACCGAGGGCCGTGCTACACCCAACAACGAGGCCGCGCGCAGCGCGAGTCCCGCCGATGCAGATTTCGCAACGTCCACCCCCAAGCCGTGTGCCCGCTGCGTTCCGACCAGAGACCGGATGAGAAGGATGATGATGATGATGTTGTTGATGATGATGATGAGGAGGAGGAGGAGGAGGAGGAGGAGGAGGAGGAAAAGGAGGAGGAAAAGGAGGAGGAGGAAAAGGAGGAGGAGGAAAAGGAGGAGGAAAAGGAGGAGGAAAAGAAGGAAAAGGAGGAGGAGGAAAGGGAGGAGGAAGGAGAGTTGATGATGCGGGCGAAACGGCGCCCCCACAGCATGCCATGGAACGTGGAGGGGGGGAAACAAAAAGGTACCGATACCGCTACTCTTAAGTCGGGCGTGTCCCCCAACAAGGGGATTTTCGACGAAAAACAAAACATACTAAAACACTGCTCAAAAGATGCCCCCAAATACTCAAAACATGAAACCCCAAAAACTATTTTTTCACTTTTTTGGGATCTCCCCCCTAAAGAGGGACAGGCCCGACTTCAGACTTCTCCTGGGATGCGTTCTGATCAGAATGTCGAGGAGACTCCCGCGGTGGCAAGGAGAGATCCCCAGGGCGGGCAGCGGTGTCGGCACCCGCTCCTCCTCTGAGGCGGAGGCGGAGGGGAAGCCATCACCAATTAACGGGCGAAGAACGGTATAAAATAAACTGTCTCGCTGTCGGGGGCGCCTGTCCCAGGGCGGCTGGAAAGTTTATACCCTTACGGTGGCACCGTAGGGGTATCAACTTTCCAGCCGCCCAGGGACAGGCGCCCCCGACAGCGAAAACGTTTGTTTTATACCGTTCCTCGCTCGCTGAACCAAGCGACCCAGCCCCCCGCGACCGCATCGGGGAAACCGCTGCCGGAACCGCCCGGCGGCGCCCCCGGGGACTTTCCGACTCGGCCGCGGGCCTCGCGCAGCGGGCCGCCCTCCGCGCGCTCGGCCACCCACGGCTGCTGCTGCCAGCCGCGGGGCCACCCGCGGAAGTGCAGGCTGATCGGAGGCGAAGGTAGGAGCGCAACGCCCAGCTGGCCATCGCTCGGACGTCCATTCCCTATGTTTTTTCGGAGTCGTGCGTGGCTTTTTCGCCAAATGATCAAGGATGCTCCTCGATGGTCCTCGCCGAAGGAAAAATGCACACGTCCGAGCGATGCCAAGCCAGGGGCGGGCATCGCACGCGTATCTCCGGGGGCCTGGCCGAGAGCACGGCCCATCGGCGCCCCTGGATGCACGTGGCAGACTCCAGACACCCTGCGCTCGAAGAAACTGTCTAGAGGCCTCTTAGATGGGGTCCGAGTTGATGGGGTCGGAGGACCGCGCCGCATCGCCAATGCGTCGGCGATGCATCGGCGATGCATCGGCGATGCACCGGCGATGCACCGGCGATGCATCGCCGACGTCGGCGATGCATCGGCGACGTCGACGTGAGGCAAATCGGGCTGCACAAGCCGCATCGGCGATGCATCAGCGATGCGGCGCGATCCTCTGACCCCGTCTACTCCGACCCCATCTGAGAGGCCTAGACTGTCATCTCTCGGGGGCGCATCCTTCCTGGCGCCGGCTTCCTCTAGCCTTCCCCTGGCCTTCCGCCGGCGTGGGCGGCCTCGTTTCCTTCCGCCGCCCTCCGCTGGCCATTCCGCCGAGGCCCCGTGTGCCTCCGCCGCCCGCCGCCTGCCCTGCCGCCGATGCCAACTCCTCCTTGGGCGCCTGGGCTATCCGGGATACCTGCGGTCCAGGGCAACTTCAGCGTGGGCCCCCGAGGCGCGAACCTGTAGCTATCCCTGACTGCCCCAAACCCGGATGATTCGGGAGCTTGCCGTCGCTCGGACGTCCATTTTCCGTGCGCTTTTCGGCTTCGTGCGTGTTTTTTTTGCTCGATGGTCCAGGATGGTTCTCGATGGTCCTCGCCGAGAAAAATGCACACGTCCGGGCGATGCCAGGGGAAGGGTTGGGCGCATGAATCATCCAGCTTAACTGCGGTCCGGGGGGTCTCCGGTGTGGGCACCCGAGGCGCGAAGCTGTAGCTACCCCTGACTGCCCCCAGCCCTGGTGACTCGGGGCTCTGAACTCCATCGACCCTCGAAGGCGAGGATGTCTCTGGGACGCCTCCTTTGAGCAGTCACAAGCCGTCCCGGCATTCCTACATTCCTATACCGCGAAGTCTTAGGGCCCAGAAATGTTGCAATAACAAAAGCACTGCTCGTAGAAAGAAACACGCGATGTGCTGAAACGAGATAGTCTCAGCCAGAAATGCTGGAAGAACATGTCGTCCAGACCACGAACGGTTCTTACATTCCTTGGTGGACCTATAGGCGAGCCGGGACGCTTCGCCACTGCTTGACTCCTGCATCCCCCCCGGGCTATTCTTAGGCCGGACGCGTCCTCCTGCAAGCGGACTTTGGACGACACATGACATGTACTCGACAGAGAATCCAACATGAGCAAACCAATCAAAACAGAAATCGCCCCCCGACGATTTGTTTTACCATGTTCGACTTTTTCTCATGTGGATTGAACAGGGACCGACCGTCCCGGCGTTCCTATAGTCATACCACGATATGTTCTTAGAGCCCAACTATGTTCTAAGAGCAAAAACATAAGCCCGCTGCGTTAAAACATGACAGTCCCAGCCAGAACTGTTCTAAGAACATTTCGTGGGCAGCACAAAAGGTTCTCAGAACATTGTTTGGTGGGGCTCTAAGCGAGCCGGGACGCTTCGCCACTGCTTGAGTGGAGGGGGAGGAGGAGCAGGAGGAGGAGGAGGAGGAGGAGGAGCAATGAGGAGGAGGAGGAGGAGGAGGAGGAGAAGGAGGATGAGGAGGAGGAGGAAGAGAAGGAGGGTGAGGAGGAGGGGGAGGAGGAGCAGGAGGAGGATTCTCCCGCTCGCGCGCTAGCGAGCTGTCTCCGAGCGCGGCCGCGGCTCGCGCGCGCGGGGCGGCCCAAAATGGGCAGGCCCGCCCCGCGCGCTCGTGCCGGGGCGCCGCGCGTCAGGCGGGGGAGACCGCCTGCTCGCCGACGACGGCGAGGCAGCGCCCATCAGCCTTAGATTGGGAGAGGAGGGAGGGGGGCAGAGAAGCTGCGGAGACAGCAGGAGCTTGCTCACAGAGAATAGAAGAGGCATTCTCCCGCTCGCGCGCTAGCGAGCTGTCTCCGAGCGCGGCCGCGGCTCGCGCGCGCGGGGCGGCCCAAAATGGGCAGGCCCGTCCCGCGCGCTCGTGCCGGGGCGCCGCGCGTCAGGCGGGGGAGACCGCCTGCTCGCCGACGACGGCGAGGCAGCCATACCCGTGCTCAAGGACCTTGCGAAGTGACAAGGTTTCGGCGGGCGGCCGCAAGTAGGGCAGGCCAAGCGGCGGGGCCGACTTGGAGAAATGAAGCGACAAGGCGGTCGCTGGCGGTGGCGAAGAACAGGATCCGCGCCCGTGCGGGCACGGGCAGCGCAGCAAGAACTGTGGAAGCGGCGGCGGCTTGCAGGTAGCGCTCAGCACTGGAAGCCTGACGCCAACGCCCCCGCCAGAAGACGCGAGGGACGTCTTCCGTAGCGATATAGAAGTCTGTTGCGCCAGAGCCCCGCAGACATGCGGGCGTCAGGTTGAGCCCCTGACCCGCTTTGGCAAGAGGGACGCCCAGGGCCGAAAGCAAATGATTCCACCGAGTACGGAAGCCGCTCGCACCGAAAGGGGCGAGAGGATCGGTGGAAGCCAACCGCCCAAACACTTGATTCAGAATCTTCACCGTGCCCCGATCGGAGCAGCGAGCATGCTGCGTCGGGTACGTTCTCCTGGTCTTTGGAACAAGAATCGAAAGAAAAGCATCCCCTTCAACTTCGAGGCGGTCGCAAGGAAGCGACAAGTCACAGCGGCGTGACGCCAGCAGCTCGCCAGGCCTGAGGAACATCGTAAAGCCCATGAGCAGCAAGGCCGCCATCACAGGCCAGTCCCAGGCGAAACAGAGACCGACCATAGCGCGCAGCAGAGCGCGAGGTAAGGGCGGGCGGAGCTTTGGCGGCTCCGCGAGCTTCCATTGTTTCGCTACGTCCCAAGCTTCTGTTAGAAAGGCCTTCCAATGCGGATGAGCGCTCTGGATTCCCAAGATGGCATGAACCAGAATATAATGAGGGAAACCTGCATCATGAAGCCACACGCCGAAGGTCGCGAGGAAGCGGGCGAGAAGTATCCCGCTACGGTAAAGAGTGGCGGGCGGCACGCCAGTGTGTTCTGCTAACCACAGTTCGAACGCATCAATCGATCTCGAGCGACGATCGAGATACGCGGAGGCGAGGTGAGAATCGCGCACGAAGGGAGTGCGCGGAGGGCGAGCGGGCGCGGAAGGCGCAGCCCGACTAAGCCCTTGGCCTGCGGTCGGCGCCGCGGCTCCCAGAGAGATGCAGAGGCCGCAGACGCACCACAGGATGAGCGCAGGGCGGCCAGGGCTGGGAGAGCTGATCAGCGTGGCGGCCCTCCTGCTCCTGGACGCGTAGAAGGGCGGAACGAGGGTGTCCCGCCCGTCGGTCTCGAACCCCGACGCCTCCGCCAGCATCGCCCGCGCCGAGGTGAAGGATCCGCCCATGTTACGGTGAGCACGGCGAGCCCCTGCTTCGATCTCGGCGGGCAGAGCGCCCCTTCCCTCGAGGGTCGCCCAGTCAAAGGGCGGGCGCGGCTCGGCGCGCGCAGCTGCGGCCGATTCGGCGAGCTCGGAACGAGCTGCCGAGGACGTGAGGCCCGAATGATGTGGAACGGGCACCACCTCCGCGAACGCGTCGAGGATCTCGGACGGAGGGGAATGAGATCCCCACAGCGCTGCTGGGATGGCGCCGTGACCGTCCTGCACGTGGTACAGAAGGTCGAAAAGGCAGGCCAACTTGCCCGCGCGCCTCCTGTGCTCGATCTTTGAGCCGAGCCCGATGCCACGGATGGCGCCCGCCCCCATGGCTTGGAGGTCAGCGCCCGCGGGGATAGCCTCGGGCTCGACGGCGGCCACGTAAGGATGCAACCACGAGGCTTCGTCGATCGGCTCGGCGCCGCCTGTCTGAAACAGGCGCTTATAGGCGTGCAAGGCCTGCAGGAGGCAGTGCAGGTCATCTCTGCCCTCGGGCTCGGCGGCCCCTGCGGGTGCGAAAGACCTCAGCCACGACGCCGCGCTCTGGAAGGCAGCTTGCCAGGCGGGTCCCCACCTCACCACTGTGACCTTCTCACCGCCGAGGTTGAGACGCCACGCTAGGGCGGTGGCGGCCCCTGGAGGCAAGGGCTGCTCAACGGCCGCGGAGGCCGTGCGCCGCGCTGCGAAGGCTGCAGCCGCGGCGCTCCCAGCGTCGCCGCTGTGGGAGCCGCTGGGATGCAGCTCGTGCCCTGAATCTCGGCCAGGCGCGGGGCCGCTCGAAGACCCCCTTTCCTCGGCGGCACGCCCTCCGCCCTGCGGGGCCGCAACAGCATCGCTGGAGGAGCGCGTGCCTACCGAAGACTGAGGGGCCTGAGCAGCGGAGTCCGCGCGGGAGCTGCCTGCGTGGGCGTCGCCCGAGCTCGCACCATGGCGGGACGTGGCTGGCCGCTGCGCAGTAGCGGGGCTCGGGCGCCGCTTCGGAGCGACTCGAGGGGAGCGCACCTCGCGACGCCGAGGCGACGTCGCCTGACGCGAAGGCGCGCGAGAGGAGCCGCGCGCGACGGCCCGACTAAGCCCCTGGCCTGCGGTCGACGCGCGGGATCGCGACGCCGCACGCCCACCAGAGTGGTGAGGGGGCGGCGGCGGCGGCGGGGGCACGGGCCGCGGAGTCTCGGAGCCTACACGCGTGCCGCGGCCCCGAGAGCGACTGCGAACCGAGGCGCGAGCGGCGGGCGGAGAGGCCCCCGAGCGGCGAGGGAAGGCCGCCTGCAGGCGGCGGAGGACCTCGGGGTTCAGGCCCGCCACGACGCGCTCGAGGTCCATCGAGGAGTCTGCGAGGGCACTCAGCACGACGTCCTCGAGCTCCGTCGGAGAGTCCTCGTCGCACGCGGGCTCCG